CACACACACACACACTCACACGCAAGCGTATAGGTAGACACGTGGCTAGGTAGATAGGTAGGTAGATCGGACAGATAGGTGGGACAGATAGATTAACAGATAGACAGACGGATAGATAGATATAGATAGATAGATGGATAGACAGATGGAAAGATTGAAAGATAGCTAGGTAGGTAGATAGATAGATTGGTACGTAGATAGATGGACAGATAGATATATAGATAGTGGGCACATAAGACGTACCGTAAGGGTCCATGTACCCAAATAGTATATACATTGGCCCTAAAGTGCCTAAATAGGGACTACATTAAGGCTTAAGTACATGCTATTTGGGCACATGGACCCTTAGGGATAGGCCCCGAGAAAAGCGAAACCGCGCCAAGGGCACTGTTCTCTGCCGGCGCAAGTAAAGAAGCCTGCGAGGTTATTCCGATTCGTGCTTACCCATAGGCCCCATAGTAGTTCCTTTCTGGGGCTCATATTTAGAATCTTATCGGGTAATCCCTAAAGGAACGACTATGGGGCTTATGGGTAGGGCCTTACAGGACTTTCTGGGACCTTTTTTTTTTGGAAGTTTGTGGGGTGCAGATTCTAGGTGTTGAGGGATTGGGGTGGGCTTGAAACCTTTTGGGGCCAAGAGTTCAGGCACTCAACCCGAGGCCCTCAACCGAAACCCCTACAAACTCAGCCCTAAACGCGAAGCCCCACAGCCTACATGGAAGCCGCTCTCGGGATCCTGGACATGCGTTATTACATCCCAGCCCGAAAGTCTGAAACATGTAGGGTGTACGGTCTAAGGGTTTAAGGGCTTAGGGTTTAGGGGTTTCGATTTAGGGTTTGGGGCTCAGTGGTTTAGGGGTTTAGGGTTTTAGGGCCAGTTTGAGGGTTCGGAGTTTCAAGTTAAGACGAATATAGGGGCCTGAATAATCTGAATAATTAATTCGGGTTTTGGGGCCACTATACTATAATTATAAGAAGGAACCCCAAAATAGTACTGGTAGTTATTCAGGCCCCTACATTAACAAGATTTGGGGCGGCTTCTTGCGTGAGGAGCAGCGCACAACTTTCAATCCCGAACACCCTTACTTTGGACTCCTTCATAAATTAACCCTTGAGGCCTTTGTGAACACTACTACGTTGGGGCTTCTGAATTAAATTCTCGAAAATAATGTTCGTTATAATTGACCCTCAAAATCCCTCGACAAGAACCGTTAAAAATAACTAATTCAGTGGCTTAGCTATCGGGTTAGACAGGGCGCCATGTATAGTATATAGTATATACTTCGGGGTTTCAATGGCGTCTAGATGGCTAATTTAGGGCCCACGTATATCGTTGGTTCAGTCCTAGTCCTAGACTCCTGCACTCATGAACCTAGGTGACACGAAAGCAAGGTCCCTGAACCCCAAACCCTATTACAGAAAAAGCCTGAAGCTACCACCGGGGTTTAGGGTTTAGGTTAGGGTATAGGGTTTAGGGTTTTTCTCCAACACCGGTAGAACACCCATCACCCACACCCTCAGGGTCCACGTACCCAAATAGTAAATACTTTGGCCTTAATGTAGTCCCTATATAAGTACTTTAGGGACAATGTATATAGCTTAATTGGGCACATGGACCCTTAGGGACAGTCCACAAGTCAGCTGGATTTACCTTCGTCTTAGGTCGGAAGTTTCCCGAGCACACTCGCGCATAACTCTTGCCGGTGTTGGTCCACGCTGTGGTCAGCCAGCATACACATGAACACATGTGTATGGTACGGAAAAGTGTGCTGTTCCTTTCAGATTTCGCTATGATGGCACATGTTGCATGTACGCAAATACTGTAGCGGGAAGAAACACCAGTGAAATGAATAATTAATGTAGGCCTTATAGGGGCCTTAGCAATTAGAATAGGGTTTTTGGGCCCATTATACTATAATTTTAATAAAGGATCCCCCCCCCCAATAGCATATGTATTTATTGAGGCCCCTACATTACAGCCCCAAATCCTCAAGCCCGGAGGACTCGATACAAAAGCCTGAACAATTGCTCACGGTTCTTTTGTGATTATACTAAGATGCGCCCTCAAAACACATTTTGACTATCCAGGCACCCAAATACTAAATCCCGATTATGCAAAACCTTGTCGTACCCCTTGACAGGACGCCCTTTACCGGAATCCCTACTCTAGCCAGAGTGCCTCGACATGCAAAAAAACCTTTGCAACGCCAAGGCCTTCTGGTGTCCACGCCACTCTTGAACTGTTTTGAGGCCTCGCGGCGTCTGATGCAAACAAAGGAAACCCTGAACCCCTAAACCCCTCATCCCTAAACCCTTAACCCTATTATAAACCCTAAACCCCTAAACCCCTCATCCCTAAATCCTTAACCCCAATATAAACCCTACCTTGAGAACCCAAAACCTACCTTTTTGTAGGGTCCCTATAAATCCCATATTAGGGTTTATAATAAGAACCTACAAAAAAGTAGGTTTTGGGTTCTTAAGGTAAACCCTAAACCATGAACATCTCCAAAGATGCAGCTCTTTGGGTTTGAGGTTTAAGGCCTCCTAAACCCGAACCCCTGGGCCCCGTCTAGGGATTCCGTGAACGGTGACTCCGCATGGGAAGACGGATCCTAGTGCTCTGAGCCAACAAGGGTGCATGCACCCCATCTATCTATCTATCTTTCTTTCTTTCTTACTTTTCGATCTTTCTACCCATCTATCTATGTATCTCTACGTATCTATCGATCTATCCATCTATCCATCTACATGTATGTATCGTGTGTGTGTCTGTATATATACATATATATGTGTATACACATATGTTTTTTATATACGCGGTACATCAAAAATTACATACATATATACACAATTTATACACAGACATAACATATCTTTTGGCCTTAAATGGTTCCGTATGTTGCCTATATAGAGGTATCTTGCAGTCCACCCGTATCGGACCCCTTGAGGAGGTCGTCTACAGCCTGGTTTAGGCTTTGGTGGAAGACCCGGGGTGGACAGAAACTGGATCGTGATCCTTTAGACAAACTTGGCGGTGTGGCTCTGCGTTTTATATGTTGAACAGGTGCATGAAAACTGACGGCTTGAAGCACCTAGTGTTGAGGCTTGCATCATTACCCTATGTTGCGGGATTCAGCGATTCTGGGTACCAGCGAGTCGGCGGCAATAAATACTTCCACACGCAGGAACATGATTGAGAAAGGCCCTTTTGGATCCTCCCACATTCTGGAAGTAGAACCAGGGTTTCTTGATCAGTTCTAACCGTTTCGAAAAGAAGGGGCATCCTAAACCCTAGACCCCTAAACCCTAAACCCTCAAACCCTCAACCCCTAAACCCTCAAACCCTTAAACTCTAAAACCTCAAACCCTAAACCCTAAACCCTCAAACCCTCAAACCCTAAACCCCAAACTCCCCAACTATTCTGACGTGACTGTAGAGGGCGGGAGCTCAATGGCTGCAGAACCCTAAGGGCCTAAGGGTCCATGTACCTATGCAGCTGACAGTGGAGCCTTGAAGGGTTCTTTTTCCTTTTAGGGTTCCTTTAAGGGCTCCTTTAAGGGTTTCTTTAAGGGTTCCTTTCAGCGTTCCT